AATTTGGCATCGAGGCAACGGGCTATAGCTAGCCATGGGGTGTGACCTAGTTTGGGTAAAGCCAGGTAGTTTAGCCTTTTAGCCAAAAGGCACTGAGGGTGGTCACAGTCAGAGTTTTTTTGCGCCCTCAGTGGTTCTTTTACGTCCCCATTGGCCTTAGTATTACTGGAGACGGGACCGCCATTTTACGTGGTCATCCGAGCCACGGGAGATTCAGTCTCCAATGTTGAGAGCCAGGTTTTTACACCTTGAGAAAATTCACTGCCCCAGCCGGGGTTTGAACTCACAGCCTTCAGTGGACAGTGTACGAGGAACAAAACAACAGAGGGGATGAAGTGTGCTTGGTGTGTGGAGCCCATCGGCACCATAAAAAGTCGAGGACTGATTAAGCGAAGCAGCACCTTTATTGATGGCTGTAACAGTTATAAGCGAGAATCAATATCCTATACCATGAGCTGTCTGATGCACAGGCATATGTGCTTCTGATCATGTATAAAGGCTGTACAGAATGCGAAAAAAGCCCCTGCTAACGTCGCGGTCGATCTTCTTCACACGCCGCATTCTGAGCTCAAAATTTTGTTCAGGAATGCCCATGCATTGGCCAAGAACGGGAAACCATTTAGGGACTTTCAGTAGTTGTGCGACTTGGATGAAAAAATGGCCTCTCCGGCTCTCGATTGGCCCGTTTGTATTTTTTTAAATTTGTAACTTTGTTGTGACGGGTACCCTACTTATAATGAGATCAATGAATTAAATGTGTAGTTTAAATCAATGGTGTTTTTTGTGTTTTTCCACTATTGTTTGACAATAATTTTTTGTTTTAAAATTGGCAGTGGCTACGGGTGCAGTAGCCGTATCTTAATGTCTCGAGGCTACGGGTACGGGAGTCCATTCGCTTTCATACTTAACGAGACAAAGATGGCGGCGGTGGCGCTAGATTTCGAAATAACGCCTTGGGAAATAAATTCACGATTTGAGAGTTTAGATGAGCTAGAACCCTAACCCTTAAACCCTAAACCTAACCCTAACCCTAATCCTAACCCTAACCCTAACGCAAAAAGGGGCTTGAACGACCGACGGCTACCGTACCTCCAGCCACTGCGTTTAAAATTTGGGCGAGTACAGATTCCATTCGCCGATTCGGGCCAGTTAACTTATTCGCTTATTGTCAATATTGACTCACTAGCCCAGTTTGGCGAGTGTTTTTTTTTTAAAGCTCTAACCCTGCGATATCCCTCATATCC